TAAAAGTCAAAGTCATCTGGAACGGTGGGAGGAACCGACCTCGAACTCGGCACCTCATACGTGAAGCTATGAGGTCGGCACCCTATTCGAAGTCTCATCAGAACGGCCCCAGATAGAAACTCGATCTCAAATACGATAAATTAAGGCCACTTGTCAACAAATGATTGCCGATGGGACGTCCTACTCAGCCAGAACGTGTCCGCATTTAATGCAGCCCACGTCCGCATTAAATGCATGGCAGGTAATGATTGGAAAACCCCCGAAATTACTTCCAATCAGTCAGAGAAGCGCCGGATTGTCCCGCCGAGTTACTGTACGACAAGATTGATGAACAGTACCCGAACAGTACCGCATTAAAGACCCCTATAAATAGCAACCCCCTCATTTATTTTTGGGTTGTTGAAATCCCAACGGCTTGTACCCAATATTTTCTCTCTCTAAAAGACTTGTAAGAAACTCTTGTAAGAAACTGTAAGTATATCGCAAGTGCCGACCTCGTACGAGAGGCCGACCTCGTGAACCGTTAATAAAACCGAAATTAAAACGTATCTCTTTGTCTTTTCCTTATTTTCTCTCCATTATTCGACTTTTTAACCGTTGACCGGAAACGCCCGTCAACAGTTTGGCGCTAGAAGGAGGGCCCCATAAGTTACTTGGTGTCAATTTTTCGATCTTGTAAAACTACACATCACGCTCATCTTTTTCCACCTTTTCACTTTCAAAAGCCACTTAAAATGCCTTCATCCGGACATGACGATTCCTCCCAGCAGTCCGGCTCCCAGCCCCGCCGACGCAACGGCGGGGAGACCTCCTGTCGCGTTCAGCAGACTCCCGCCTATCCCCGACCTTCCATTCGGCCGACTCCCTGAGTCGCGGACAACGCGTCACCTCTCTCCCCCGATATCCTGCAAGAAGCCGTCCCGAAGGGAATACAAATACCCCAGCTCGGCCTCTATGACGGGAGCTCGGACCCCGATTCCCACCTCGGCCTCTACACTTCGTGGATGGACCTGCACGGCGCCTCTGACGCCCTACGCTGCCGCATGTTCTCCCTGACGTTAGGGCCCAAGGCGCAGAGGTGGTACCATTCCCTTTACCCCCGCTCCATTTCAACCTGGGCACAGCTCAGGTCGGCGTTCCGGTCGCACTTCATCGGATCGCAGGTCAATCTCGCCCCCAAAGAATCAATCTCCAACATTGTACAGGGCGAGAATGAGAGTTTGAAAGACTACATCGCCCGATTCAATGACCGGGTCCAAAATATGGAGCGGTGCCACCCCGACGCCCTGCTCATCACGGTCCAGGGTGGCCTCAGGCCGAAGACGCTGTTCAGGTGGTCCCTGTGCCAAAACAAGCCGGCCACCTACCAAGAATTCCTCACCCGCGCTCAGGACTATATCATGGCGGAGGAATCATCATCCATCCCGACGTTCGACGCCACGCCGGCACCGGCGCAGGCGAAGGGGAAAGCAAAGGAAGAAAAACCGGGTAAACCGAGCAAGTCGTTCGCTGAGATCCGGGCTCAGCGGAGACAAAGGGCCGAGGAGCTGAAAGAAAGCTATCAAGGCGTCTTCTCGGTAGGAGCCGTGGCGGTTTACGAGGAGATCAAGGCCAAGGGGTTGCTACCAGACCCCAAACCGATGTTCACCGACAAAGACAAGGTGGATAAGACCCGCTACTGCTCCTACCATAAGGCGCATGGGCACAACACCGACCAGTGCCGAAATTTGATCTCGGCACTGCTCAAACTGATAGATGATCCCCTACTCCGGAGGTTCACCCACTCCGGAGAGAAGAGGAAGAAAGGGGGGGGCCGCTTCGAGGAAGGCCCAGACAGCAAAGAGGACGCCGACGTGAATCCTCGAAGGAAAAAGTCGCAACAGGGCGGCCCCCACGAGATTATGACCTTCTGCCCCTCCCACCAAGATGAGGCCGGCACCTCCAGGGGCAGAAAAAGAGACCGGTCCCCACGCACCGGGGCCAACCCAGCCAGCCTCCCATCCCGGCGCGTCAACACAAGCCGGAGTGAGTCCCTCCTCTCCCGGAGACAAACCAAGGCCTATGCCCGACAGGCCTATCACGCCGGGCAAAGGGTGATGCACGCCAACAACAGGCCGGCGCCGGAGCCGACCCCAAACACCATCACCTTCAACGACGAGGATGCCTTCCTGTTCGACCATCCCCACTCCGACGCCCTGGTGATCACGGCGCCGATCATGGCGATAAAAATTCATCGCATCATGGTCGACACCGGGGCCTACGCCAGCATCCTCTACTACGAGACCTTCAAGAAGATGGGGATCGATAGGAAGGAGGTACAGCCTTGCCGGGAGCGGATCCAGGGTTTCAATGGCCAGACCATCGCCCCAGTTGGTCAGGTCACGCTACCGATCCGGTTCGGAGAGAGAGGGCAGCCCACAAAGACAATCTTAGAGACTTTCAAAATCGTGGACTGCCCGAGCGAGTACAATGCCATTCTAGGCAGGACGGCTCTGTACAAACTAAAGGCCGCCGTCTCCATCTTTCATTACTCCCTCAAATTCCCAACTCCCGATGGGGAGGGGACCCACCAGAGGGACCAGAGAGAGGCGCGGGAGTGCATCCTGACCATCCCGCGCACCGAAATAAACGTCGCGAACCCCCGGACGGACGCCGAGGTGACGGACACCGGGTCGGCACACAACGGTTATAGGGGCAACCGCATGCTGGGAAACCAGACAGGTTCGCGCCCCTTGACCTCCTCAAGTGTCGACCCCATCATCCGGGAACCCAACTCCGGGGCAGACAACTCGGCCCCCAGTGCCGAGGTGACGGACCCCATCGAGGACGGAACCGAGGCTGACCTCGACAGGGACAGGGGGAGAAGGGCTGGCAAAAGGCCGATCATGGAGGAGGACGAGCTCGACCCCCGGACACAATATGAGGAAAAACGGGGAACAAAGAGGGCCGAGCCAATGGACGAAGTTGAAGTCATCTTCATTGACGAAGAGACTTGCCTGAAACAACTCCGGATTGGGAGCAAGTTGCCGGAGCCTATGAAGACCGAGCTGACCGACTTCCTCCGACAAAACGCGGACGTCTTCGCGTGAACCCATGAAGACATGGTCGGCATCGACCCTCAGGTCGCCTGTCACCGGTTGCAGGTCGACCCCACGGTCAAGCCGGTTGTGCAAAAGAGGAGAAAGCTCGGCCCCGATCGACAGCAAGCCTTGGAAGAGGAAGTGACCAAGCTTAAGGATAACGAATACATTCGCGAGGTCCGGTACCCGACCTGGGTAGCCAACCCGGTACTTGTGAAGAAGAACAACGTCGCTTGTGCATCGACTTCTCCGACCTGAACAAGGCTTGCCCAAAAGACAGCTACCCCCTGCCCCACATCGATTACATGGTTGACGCGACCTCGGGGCACGAGCTGATGAGTTTTATGGACGCGTATTCCGGCTACAATCAAATCCCCATGCACCCGGACGACGAGGAGCACACCTCCTTCTATTCGGCACGCGGACTCTATTGTTACACAATGATGCCGTTTGGGTTGAAGAATGCCGGGGCCACCTACCAACGCTTAGTGAATAAAATATTTGCTAGTTTGATAGGTGAATGTATGGAAGTGTATGTAGATGACATGCTAGTCAAGTCCGTGTACGCGTCCAATCATGTAAACGATCTTAATAAAATGTTTTCTATTTTGCGTGATTTTCGATGAAGTTAAACCCGAAAAAATGTACTTTTGGTGTTGGTTCGGGGAAATTTTTGGGGTATATAGTTAGTCAGCGCGGCATCGACGCAAACCCCGAGAAAATCAAGGCGGTGCAAGACCTCCGACCGCCAACGTCAATCAAAGGAGTCCAAAGCCTGACTGGCAAACTCGCCGCCCTGAGCCGGTTCATTTCAAAGTCCACCGACCGCTGCAAACCTTTCTTCGAAGCTATCAAGAAAAACCATAAGTTTGAGTGGACGCCGGCCTGCCAAAAGGCGCTGGAGGCTATCAAGGAGACCCTTAGCCAGGCTCCGACGATGCAAAAGCCCCGCCCGGGTGAGATGCTATATCTATACCTGGGAATTTCCGAGGTGGCCGTAAGTGCCGCCTTGATTCGAGAAGACGAATCAGGCCAATTCCCGATCTACTACGTGAGCAAGGCTCTTCACGATGCCGAGCTGAGGTACCCGCCGATGGAGAAACTTGCCTTCGCCTTGGTGACCGCAGCTCGAAAACTCAGACCGTACTTCCTGGAGTACCCAATCACTGTCCTCACGGCCTACCCGCTAAGACAAATCCTACACCGACCCGACACATCGGGCCGAATTTTTAAATGGGCAGTGGAGCTGGGACAATACGATATCCAGTACCGACCCCGAATAGCAATGAAGGGGCAGGTACTATCGGACTTCATAGCCGAGTTTACGCCGGGAGTCGAGGAAACGAAGGGCGAAGAACCTTGGGTGATGTACGTAGATGGGTCCTCCACTGCCGGACGAGCAGGCGGAGGGGTCGTCCTCGTGGATCCCCAAAAAAGGCTATTCTGTCACTCGATTCAATACCTCTTCCCGGCAACCAACAATGAGGCCGAATACGAGTCATTGCTATCCGGGCTCGCTTTGGCTGAAGCCATGAGCCTGACCGACCTCACCATTGTAACGCCCCACTTTTATTTGTCGAAATTCAGAATAAATTTTTTCAAAATTTATTTCAAAACACTTGAGGCGCTACTCTTTTTCAAAAAACAATTTCAACAATATTACATATGCAATTCCAAACGAGTTCAATAATCATAAACAATCAACACCCAAACCGGGTTCAATAATCGTCAATAGTCAACACCCAAACCGGGTTCATTAAATCCACAAATACTAGGGAGAACACTCCCTATCGATAATCCATTTTTCAACATAAGTCAGGAATGCATAATTCATAATAAGCAATTTAAGCAGCAGAAATAAGCGATAACATGACCACCACTCGCTTCCCTCTGTCGTGCCCGCAATACTAACCTGCATCCATGAAGAGCAGGTGGGGATGAGCACAATAGGAAATCGAGGTGCTCACCACTATGCAATAATTAATATTCAATTTCATAAAGTAAAACAGGTATGGTCGCAGTATGAACACGAATCAATTAATATCCCATCTCCTTCCCAGAGTCAACTCTCATGTGCACACCTATACCAATAGACCACTGCTGATACACGTATCGAAAACCCCCGCGGGCCTTACATTCGATGCCCAGACAGTAGGAGTAAATCCACCCCGAATGCCTGGAAACATTCCTTCGGACTTACATCGAGGATCACCAGCCAAGGCTCACGCCCTGACTGCCATACATAAATAAAGGAGACACCCATCGGGTACGTTCTATAGCTACGGGGATAACCGTTCGACGGCCAATATAGCTCACATCGAAGGCTACATGGTTCACATGCATACTTTGATCATACCACAACAATAACAATTAATTAATGCATAGAAACTTTTCAAATAAAACCCACCTGGTTAAGTTGGTAGAAAAAGGTACACAAGCAGTCGGTAGGTCGAGGGCTCGAATCCTCAAACACCTACATTTAATCAAGATAATCTCATAAATACATTATCTTGATCTTTGAAATCATTAAAGACTCACACTTAATCAAAATAATGATTAAGGGATTTTATCGGAAATTTTTCGTGGACTTGGAACTCCCAAATTTTTAAAAGAAAAGACTCGGGGACCAAAAATAGAGTCTCGGGACTTAAAATAATTTTTCCCAAATTTTTCACATTTTGAAAATATTTTTAAAATTGAAATCGGTATGAAAAACGGCTTCTGGGACTCAAAATTAGGCTGAAAAGCCAATTGGGCCAAGCTGCCAAACACTGGCCAAGAACTGCCCACATTTGGGCCGCTGCTGAGATTAGAATAGGCCCAATTAACATGGCCTGTTAAGGGAAAAAAGGACACGGGCCTGGACCGGGCTTCGCGGGCTGGAGAAGCTGACACATGGCGGGCCGCGCCGCGGGCTTGAGGCGGGCCGAACGGCCGGCGTACCTAAGGAACTACCTATGGCTGGCAAAAATATAAATCGGGTGCTGGGGACGGGATTCGAACTCCCAACCTCACACAGGAAATGGAAGCCGCATACCACTGCGCCACTGGCTTGGTTGACAAATAACACAAAAGAAAGACTACTAAAGTGAAAACGAAACGCCTGCGTCTGCCAACAAAATTTGCCTGGAACCCGATGAATAGAAAACTGAACAGAGAATCAAAATTTGCAGAAACAGGGGCACAAAGAAAACGGATGGAGCTGCTACAAAAATTCGACCGATTTCGACGACGACATATCCAACGGCAACCGGGTTTCGAGGAGCCATTAAATTCGCGAAATTCACAATTTACAGAGTTCGAAAATATTTTACAAATCGGGTTTTGGATCCAAAAACGAAACGACGAACATAATGCAAAATAAACGATGACTCGAATGATAAATTTGAATTCTGAAATTCATGAGTTTTCACAGAAATTTAACAGATCGGTTTATACAATGAGAGTTCCAATATATCCACATCACTTAACGAATAAATTCACGAATCAACACAATGAACAAACGATCGAACATAACGAACCAAATTTCCGCAAATCAACGAGAATCGATACAACGAGCACAAATGAACTAACGACGATATAGGGCACGAAAATAAAACAAGGGAGTTCGAAAGAGGGTTACCCGTCTTCGGGAATTTCGAGATCGGAAAACGAGACGGCGGACGGGAATCGAACGGAACTCGAATGGCTCTCTGAACTCCTCAATGACCTTCGGACTGCGATTGGTGGTCGCCGGAAGCTAGCCTGTTCGGAGGACGACCGGGATGCCGGGAACGGTGACGGTTGAACAAAAATTCAGGCGACGGAATTTTTATTTTTTTTAAAAAAAAAAAAACAAAAAGGGTGCTACGAGGATACGGGAATAGAATCTGCTGAAGAGACTCCCCTGCCGAGTCTTATGTAGATGATGAGAGTCGATCGCGGTTAAAATCTCACAAGAATATCGGAACAAAAATTTGAGAGCGATGATAAGGAGGGACTCAGTCGCAGAAGAAGAAGATATGCTCGTGAATTCGCACGTGAGCAATAATATGGGCTCAACATATTTATCTCTAACTGGGCCAATCATGACTCAACTTGGGCTAGGGAATTAAACTATTTTGGGCTAGAATAAATACAAGACATTTGGCCATCACCATTTAAATTATTATAGCTAGAATTAAATCGTTTTGGGTCGAAAAAATAAAATATACGCGATAACAAGAAATCCGATCGATCCGATTGACGACAAAAATAATAAATAATATATACGAATTATAATATTTATAACACACACAATTTGATATTTAAAAATAATAATATTAATAAAAATACGAATGCACATTTAATTAGATAATAATAACATTTAAGCATCTAATCGCAATTTAATAAATAAATAATATTAGACATTCAATAATAATAATAGTAATTAAAATGATAAATAGTTCCCAATTATTCCACAGTAAAACGGGGCATTACAACCTATCCACCTTACAAAGAATTCCGTCCTCGGAATTCTAAAATAAAACCAGAAAGCAATAAAATACAAAGGGAACTCAGAACTCAAAGTTCGGATATCGCCTCCTAAGTTCGGCCTCCTTCTCCCAAGTCGCTTCTGACTCGTCATGCCGGCTCCAAAGCACCTTCACCAGACTCACTGCCTGGTTCCTCAACTGATGGACCTTCTGGTCCAAAATAGCTACCGGTACCTCCTCGTAGGTAAGGTCTCGCTCGACCTGCAGCTCGCCGAAGTCCACCACGTGGTCGGGGTCATGCACGTATCTCCGCAACATCGAGACGTGAAACACGTCATGCACTCCCGACAAGCTCGGTGGTAAGGCCAGCCGATAAGCCAAATTTCTGACTCGGGCAAGGATCTCGAATGGCCCGATGTAGCGAGGTCGAAGCTTCCCCTTCTTCCCGAAGCGAACCACACCCCTCATGGGCGAGACCTTCAGGAAGACATGATCTCCAACAACATACTCGTGCTCCTGCCTGTTCCGATCGGCGTAGACTTTCTGCCTCTCCTGGGCAGACCGGATATGCTTCCGGATAGCATCAACTGTCTCCGAAGCTCTAAGAATGAACTCCGGACCCATAATCTTCCTCTCTCCAACCTCATCCCAGTACAAGGGCGTTCGGACTTTCCGTCCGTACAAAGCCTCGAACGGGGCCATCTTAATCGAGGAGTGGTAGCTGTTGTTATAAGTCAGCTCGACCAAAGGCAAGGCACTCTCCCAAGTCAGGCTCCGGTCCAAGACCACAGCCCTCAAAATATCCTCCAAGTACTGGATCGTCCGCTCCGACTGACCATCTGTCTGAGGATGAAAAGCTGTACTGAACCCCAGCCTTGTCCCCATGGCTCGGTGCAGAGTCTTCCAGAACTGACCAGTGAATTTCGCGTCTCGATCAGACACGATCTCCACGGGCACCCCATGAAGCTTAACAATCTCTGCGACGAACAACTCGGCATACGCACTAGCCTTCATAGTCGTCCGGACGGGCAAAAAGTGGGCGGACTTTGTGAGTCGATCCACGATCACCCATATCGAGTCGTTACCGGACCTCGATCTCGGCAAACCCACCAAGAAATCCATGGTGATGCACTCCCACTTCCACACGGGAATCTCGAGTGGCTGCAACAATCCTCTCGGTTTCTGGTGCTCAGCCTTCACTTGCTGACACACCAGACACCCATTCACGAACCTCGCCACTTGCCTCTTCATGCCTCTCCACCAAAACGACTTCCTCAAGTCCTGATACATCTTCGAGCTACCCGGATGGATGGTGTACGGAGCACTATGAGCTTCCTTCAAGATCTCCCTTCGCAGTTCCCACACCTTCGGAACACATAATCTACCCTCGAAGACCAAGGCTCCATCGGATGCAACTGCGAATCCACCAACTCTACCAGCTTCCGACAACTCTCTCATCCGACATAAGAAACGGTCCTTCGGCTGCTCGGCGACAATCCTCTCACGAAGAGTCGGTCCTACAACCAAGGCGGTCAACATACTCCCGGCTGTCGAAGTCGACTCCACTGCCTCTAGCTGAAGACGCTCGAACTCCCGAAGAAGAACATCTTGCCTGGTGAATAAGCAAGACAGCTGGCCATAACTCCTCCGACTGAGGGCGTCGGCGACCACGTTAGCTTTCCCGGGATGGTAGCTAATCATGCAGTCGTAGTCCTTCACTAACTCCAACCATCGGCGCTGTCGCATGTTCAACTCCTTCTGAGTGAATATGTACTTTAGGCTCTTGTGATCCGTGAAAATCTCGCACTTTCCTCCGTAAAGGTAGTGCCTCCAGATCTTCAAGGCGTGGACCACAGCGGCTAGCTCTAAGTCGTGCGTGGGGTAATTCTGCTCATGAGGCTTCAGCTGCCTCGACGCGTACGCCACGACTTTCCCTTGCTGCATCAACACGCAGCATAAACCCATCTTCGAAGCGTCACTATAGATCGTGAACTCCAAAGTCGGGTCGGGAATAGATAACACTGGGGCAGTAGTGAGTCTCCTCTTCAACTCCTGGAAACTCTCCTCGCATTTCTGACTCCAATCAAACCTCACGGCCTTCTTCGTAAGGTTGGTTAGTGGCTGGGCTATCTTCGAGAAGCCCTCAATGAACCTTCGGTAGTATCCTGCTAACCCCAGGAAACTACGAACATCAGCGGCACTTCTTGGCGTATCCCACTTGCTCACTGCGTCAATCTTCCCGGGATCCACCTCAATGCCTCGAGCGGTCACAATGTGGCCTAGGAATGCCACACGGTCTAGCCAGAATTCGCACTTCGAAAACTTAGCATACAACTTCTCGCGGCGAAGAGTCTCCAACACAATCCTCAGATGCTCCTTGTGCTGGTCGATGTCTCGAGAATAAACCAGGATGTCGTCGATGAATACGATAACAAACTGGTCCAGGAAGGGATGAAAGACCCTATTCATAAGGTCCATAAATACGGCCGGAGCGTTGCTGAGTCCGAACGGCATTACCACAAACTCATAGTGGCCATAACGAGTTCGGAAAGCAGTCTTAGAAACATCCGACTCCCGGATCTTCAGCTGATGATAACCAGACCGTAAATCGATCTTCGAGAAGACGCTGGCTCCTCTCAGCTGGTCGAAGAGGTCTTCAATACGAGGAAGGGGGTACTTGTTCTTGACGGTAAGGGCATTCAACTCCCGATAGTCAATACACATGCGCATCGATCCGTCTTTCTTCTTCACGAATAGGACGGGCGCTCCCCACAGAGAAACACTCGGTCGAATGAAGCCGAGGTTGAGCAGTTCTTGGATCTGGGCCTTGAGCTCTTGAAGCTCCTTCGGCGCCATACGGTACGGGGCCTTAGACACGGGACCAGCTCCCGGTATTAGATCAATGGTGAACTCCACCTGGCGGTTGGGCGGTCCTCCTGGCAGCTCATCTGGAAAGACTTCGAGATACTCGCAAACGATAGAGACTCTCTCCGGAGACCTCTTAGAATCGTCCCCGAATACCAAAGACACAAGATAGCCTTGACAGCCACCCTTGGAAAGGCTCTTCCTAACTTGCATAGACGAGATAACTCGAGGCACAGTCCTCGACATCACCCCATAGAAAATAACCGGCTGATCGGAATCGGGGAAGAGAGTGACTTCGCGCTCCTGGCACCGGATGTCGGCTCGATAGCGAGTGAGCCAGTCCATGCCCAAGATTACATCGAAGTCCCGCATTTCAATAACATAGGTGTCGGCCTCCATAACCCGCCCACCAATGCTAACACGAAGACTTGGAACAATAGAATCAGAAACAATAATTTTTCCCGAGGCCAGACTGACCTCGAGAGGGTCACAAGGGCACACATTACTAACGGACAAAGCCTCCAGGCATCGAGAAGAGATAAAGGAGTGGGTGGCACCGGTGTCACATAAAGCATAAACAGGCACATTTGATATAGAGAGCATTCCGGACATAGTACCTGCGTTGTTGGCGGCCTCGTCATGAGCGATGGTATAGACACGAGCCTGGCCCCCAGTCCTCTGCTGGTACGGTGGAGGCTGTCTGTTCTACTGCTGCTGCTGCTGCTGGCGGGGTGGAGGGGGGGAGCTGCTGCTGCTGATATGGCTGCTGATATGGTGGCTGTCTCCTCGGTTCGGGGCAGTCGTGCATAAAGTGGCCGGGGCGCTGACAGTTAAAACAAACCCTCTGATCGTATCGGCACTCCCCATGGTGGTAACGGCCGCATTTGTAGCACCTTGGGTGCTGGCCCTGGGCCTGATGGTCGTTGCGGTTCCCGAAGTTCCCTTTCTTTCCCTTCTTGTTGTGGGGGTAGTTAGACTTCCTCTTGCCCGAACTAGAGCCGGGCTGAACAGTGGTAACTGGCTGAGTCGCGGGGGCATGAACATAGGAAGAAACAGGGGTGGGCTGAGGTTGGCGGCTTTCAAGCTGAAATGCACGGATGACCATCTCATCATATGGCAACACTCCGTGACTAGTGAGGATCCAGCAGATGTCCGGGCGAAGACCATCCCGGAACTTTATAGATTTCTTGAAATCAGTATCCACCAACTGTGGGGCAAACCCGCTCAAACGGACAAACTCTCGTTCATACTCTCCGACTGTCCGAGCCTCCTGCTTAAGGTTCCAGAATTCGTGCTGCATCTGCATAATGTACTCCTGAGGATAGTACTTCTCCAGAATTACTTCTTTCATGCGGTCCCAAGTTAAGACGGCCAGTTCCGGTGCCCTCATCCTCCAGTGACTCGACCACCAAGTGGCCGCATCGCCGTCCATCTGGAATTGTGCACAGGCAATCCGCTGCTCGTCCGTACAAAATAGCAGGTTGAAGATCCTCTCTAACTTCCGGATCCATTCAGCAGTAGCTTCGGGACCCTCGACTCCCATAAAAGTCGGTGGACCCAAACGCTGAAACTTCATCACGATTTCAGCATGGTCATTCGCCTGGTTACGAACAGGCTGCCGGGGTGGGGGTGTCGGCTGCCGCGGAGGAGTGGGCTGGCGCGGGGGAGTTGGCTGACGGTTGCGAGTACGGGCCATAATTCTACAACATATAATTCAGGCATTTAGCACGAGACTAAGGTCTCTAGAGTTCAACAAGTTTCAAAACAGGTGGATAAATTCCTAAGCCCCAACTTCATTTCAGTAATCAATAACCAATCAATGCACAATAATCTTAAATCATTCAGGTACTCATACCTGAGCTGGCACGGCACGACGAGAGCGAGTGGTCGTAATATGAGGTCAAAGAATGTAATCACATAATTCAAGTTAACCAGTCTACAGAAACGCAGACTGGCTCTGATACCAAACTGTAACGCCCCACTTTTATTTGTCGAAATTCAGAATAAATTTTTTCAAAATTTATTTCAAAACACTTGAGGCGCTACTCTTTTTCAAAAAACAATTTCAACAATATTACATATGCAATTCCAAACGAGTTCAATAATCATAAACAATCAACACCCAAACCGGGTTCAATAATCGTCAATAGTCAACACCCAAACCGGGTTCATTAAATCCACAAATACTCTGGAGAACACTCCCTATCGATAATCCATTTTTCAACATAAGTCAGGAATGCATAATTCATAATAAGCAATTTAAGCAGCAGAAATAAGCGATAACATGACCACCACTCGCTTCCCTCTGTCGTGCCCGCAATACTAACCTGCATCCATGAAGAGCAGGTGGGGATGAGCACAATAGGAAATCGAGGTGCTCACCACTATGCAATAATTAATATTCAATTTCATAAAGTAAAACAGGTATGGTCGCAGTATGAACACGAATCAATTAATATCCCATCTCCTTCCCAGAGTCAACTCTCATGTGCACACCTATACCAATAGACCACTGCTGATACACGTATCGAAAACCCCCGCGGGCCTTACATTCGATGCCCAGACAGTAGGAGTAAATCCACCCCGAATGCCTAGAAACATTCCTTCGGACTTACATCGAGGATCACCAGCCAAGGCTCACGCCCTGACTGCCATACATAAATAAAGGAGACACCCATCGGGTACGTTCTATAGCTACAGGGATAACCGTTCGACGGCCAATATAGCTCACATCGAAGGCTACATGGTTCACATGCATACTTTGATCATACCACAACAATAACAATTAATTAATGCATAGAAACTTTTCAAATAAAACCCACCTGGTTAAGTTGGTAGAAAAAGGTACACAAGCAGTCGGTAGGTCGAGGGCTCGAATCCTCAAACACCTACATTTAATCAAGATAATCTCATAAATACATTATCTTGATCTTTGAAATCATTAAAGACTCACACTTAATCAAAATAATGATTAAGGGATTTTATCGGAAATTTTTCGTGGACTTGGAACTCCCAAATTTTTAAAAGAAAAGACTCGGGGACCAAAAATAGAGTCTCGGGACTTAAAATAATTTTTCCCAAATTTTTCACATTTTGAAAATATTTTTAAAATTGAAATCGGTATGAAAAACGGCTTCTGGGACTCAAAATTAGGCTGAAAAGCCAATTGGGCCAAGCTGCCAAACACTGGCCAAGAACTGCCCACATTTGGGCCGCTGCTGAGATTAGAATAGGCCCAATTAACATGGCCTGATAAGGGAAAAAAGGACACGGGCCTGGACCGGGCTTCGCGGGCTGGAGAAGCTGACACATGGCGGGCCGCGCCGCGGGCTTGAGGCGGGCCGAACGGCCCGCGTACCTAAGGAACTACCTATGGCTGGCAAAAATATAAATCGGGTGCTGGGGACGGGATTCGAACTCCCAACCTCACACAGGAAATGGAAGCCGCATACCACTGCGCCACTGGCTTGGTTGACAAATAGCACAAAAGAAAGACTACTAAAGTGAAAACGAAACGCCTGCGTCTGCCAACAAAATTTGCCTGGAACCCGATGAATAGAAAACTGAACAGAGAATCAAAATTTGCAGAAACAGGGGCACAAAGAAAACGGACGGAGCTGCTACAAAAATTCGACCGATTTCGACGACGACATATCCAACGGCAACCGGGTTTCGAGGAGCCATTAAATTCGCGAAATTCACAATTTACAGAGTTCGAAAATATTTTACAAATCGGGTTTTGGATCCAAAAACGAAACGACGAACATAATGCAAAATAAACGATGACTCGAATGGTAAATTTGAATTCTGAAATTCATGAGTTTTCACAGAAATTTAACAGATCGGTTTATACAATGAGAGTTCCAATATATCCACATCACTTAACGAATAAATTCACGAATCAACACAATGAACAAACGATCGAACATAACGAACCAAATTTCCGCAAATCAACGAGAATCGATACAACGAGCACAAATGAACTAACGACGATATAGGGCACGAAAATAAAACAAGGGAGTTCGAAAGAGGGTTACCCGTCTTCGGGAATTTCGAGATCGGAAAACGAGACGGCGGACGGGAATCGAACGGAACTCGAATGGCTCTCTGAACTCCTCAATGACCTTCGGACTGCGATTGGTGGTCGCCGGAAGCTAGCCTGTTCGGAGGACGACCGGGATGCCGGGAACGGTGACGGTTTAACAAAAATTCAGCCGACGGAATTTTTATTTTTTTTTAAAAAAAAAAAACGAAAAGGGTGCTACGAGGATACGGGAATAGAATCTGCTGAAGAGACTCCCCTGCCGAGTCTTATGTAGATGATGAGAGTCGATCGCGGTTAAAATCTCACAAGAATATCGGAACAAAAATTTGAGAGCGATGATAAGCAGGGACTCAGTCGCAGAAGAAGAAGATATGCTCGTGAATTCGCACGTGAGCAATAATATGGGCTCAACATATTTATCTCTAACTGGGCCAATCATGACTCAACTTGGGCTAGGGAATTAAACTATTTTGGGCTAGAATAAATACAAGACATTTGGCCATCACCATTTAAATTATTATAGCTAGAATTAAATCGTTTTGGGTCGAAAAAATAAAATATACGCGATAACAAGAAATCCGATCGATCCGATTGACGACAAAAATAATAAATAATATATACGAATTATAATATTTATAACACACACAATTTGATTTTTAAAAATAATAATATTGATAAAAATACGAATGCACATTTAATTAGATAATAATAACATTTAAGCATCTAATCGCAATTTAATAAATAAATAGTATTAGACATTCAATAATAATAATAGTAATTAAAATGATAAATAGTTCCCAATTATTCCACAGTAAAACGGGGCATTACAACCATATACTCCGACTCCATGCTGATGGTCAAACAAATTTCTGGAGAATTCGAGGTCAAAGAGCCAAGGCTAACTCCATACTAGGGACTAGTGAAGAAGAAGTTAGCCAAACTCCGGACCCGAATAGAACATATTCCGTGGACGGAGAACGTGCAGGCCGACGCCCTGGCCCGACTCGCCTCAAGTGCCGGGGTGGAAAGCGTCGAGTACGTGCAAGTCGCTCACAAGGAGCAACCCTCTGTGCTCGGCATCTCCGTGATGAGCGCCGACCAGGCCGCCGCGGACGAAGAATCAAACTGGATGATCCCGATTCGGTCGTATCTTGAGACCGGTGCGTTGCCGTCTGACCCAAAAGAGGCCAGACAGCTCCGTACCCGGGCAGCTCGATTTACGATCATGGCCGGTGAATTGTTCAAGAGAGGATACTCGGCACCCTTGCTCAAGTGCGTGGACGATAAGAATGCCGAGTATATTCTGAAGGAAGTCCACGAGGGCATATGCGGAAACCACTCTGGAGGATATGCCCTCGCCCACAAAGTTCTGAGGCAAGGATACTACTGGCCTAGCCTGAAAAAAGACGCCTTAGACATGGCTCGAAAATGCGCAAAGTGCCAAACATTCGCACCGAACATCATCCAACCTTCGCAGCCCCTGAAGTCGATATTCAGCCCATGGCCGTTCGCCAAGTGGGGTATCGACCTGATCGGCCCCCTACCTACCGGGAAAGGCGGAGTAAAATACGCGGTCGTCGCCGTGGACTACTTCACGAAGTGGGCAGAAGCCGAGCCGCTAGCCACTATCACCGAGCAGAAGATGATCGACTTCCTATGGAAGTCCATCATATGTCGCTTCGGGGTGCCAAACTCTATAATCACTGACAATGGAAGACAGTTCGAGGGGAAGAAGCTGGAGGCATTTTGCGAAGGGCACAACTTCAAACACTTCTTCTCGACACTTTATCATCCCCAGTCCAATGGCCAAGTCGAAGCCGTTAACAAAACTATCAAACAAGGGCTCAAGGTCCGACTTGAAGCCGTGAAAGGAACCTGGCCAGAAGAACTCCCGAACGTGCTCTGGTCGTACCACACAACAGCGAGGTCATCTACGGGAGAGACGCCGTTCTCCCTAGCATACGGGACCGAAGCAATGGTACCTGTCGAGCTCGGCGCCCCAACCTTTCGAGTAACCAACTTCGAAGAGGAGTCCAACTCCGAGTCGTTAAGAGCAAGTCTCGACCTGATAGACGAACACCGATCACAAGCAGAACTCAAAAACGCGGCGTACAAAAGACGAAGCGAGAGATACATCAATTCCCAAGTCAAGTCCCGCTCCTATCAGGTCGGCGACTTGGTGCTGAAAAGGGTAACGGGGCCTGACCCCGGACCGCTAAAACCGAAATGGGAAGGGCCCTACAAAATCAGCGAGGTCCTCCCACATGGGGCCTACCGTCTCGAACACCTAGACGGCACCCCCCACCAATACCCGTGGAATTCGGCGTTTTTGAAAAAATTTTACCAATAGGTCTAGGACCATCTTGTATTTTCATTTTTTGCAATTTTACTTTGTAAACATAGATGAAGCTTGTAAAGATGCATGTTTGCTATGCTTTACTTTGTAATTTTACTTTAGCCCTTGATAAGCATAGGTCGAGTCGAAGCGGCGTAATTAACGTAAGGAACGAAGTGTCGGCCAGGATCAGTACGATGACCTGGCCGACACTAGCTGGGCTCAACTAGGAAGCCCAGTCAGGCCAATAATACCTCCGAGTCCGAACACGAGACCGGTCAGGTAAGCAGCCACATAATTATGTGCGGGCCGGGTCAGTACGATGACTCGACCGGCACGAGCCGGGCTCGGCAAAGTAGCCCGAAAAGGCCACTGCGCCAATATAAGGAATGAAAAATACAAAGTAAACAAAAAGTGCCGAGCCCAATCCCGGGCTCGGCCCAGTAAGTAAATTCAAAGCGCCGAGTCCGATCTCGGACCCGGCCATGTAAATAAATAAATACTCAACACGGCACCAAGCCCGTACTTGGAAAAATCGAGAATAAACATTCATCCATTTAAAGTAAAGAAAGTGTCGAGCCCAATCTCGGGGCCGACCAAACAAATAAGAAAACGCCTAACTCGGCGCCAAACCCATACTTGGCAGAAAAATTGCGAAAATATGTAAACAAACATAAACATCCGATCATCCAAGCAAACAACATTCATTCATTCAAAAGCAAACAATAACATTCATTCGTTCAAAATAAAACATAAAAATTCATAAATTAAGTTCTTCATAAAAAGACCACAAGCGGTCAACAAGAGCGGCCCGCAGACCGAAAATAAACTACTTTCCAGGAGAGGGATCGGAAGACAAGTCCACCACGGCTATCTCCGAGGGTTCCACCGCCACCTCGGCATCTTTGCCGGTCTCACCACCCGCGTCCGCCTCGGTCCCGACATCGCCCTCGGCTGCCCTCGAGGACCCGGCCTCATGGTCGTGCGCCCCCTGCAGAATCCGAGAGGGGTCGGCTTCGTCTGCAAAGTCTCGGCTCGGCAACAGGAAAGGCATATAGTCGGAGAGGGCCTCGCCTGGCTTCAGGCGCATCTCGTCCGGAGGCGTCGCGCCGAAGTTGGCGAAACCGA